ACACACACACACACACACACACACACACACACACACACACACACACACACACACACACTACTTCCTTTCTTGCAGCCGTTATGTGTTAGATCAATAAATTCCGGTCTGTTTGATGAAATTTTGCAAAGTCAGACAGACAAAGTCTTGTAGATGTAACTTTATTTAATAAAACTACACTTACAGTAAACAATAAAGTAAAGTAAGGCTACTTATAACAGTGTACAGAAGAATCTAATTTGTAATAAAGGAAAGAAGTAGTGTGTATAGCAGTCTGTGAAAGGAACAACAGCTAAATTATTATAATAAAGGCAAACTTAGCTGAATAGGCAGAAACACCTAAATGCGTGTTCACAAAGTGATAAGCATGTGGTTTGAACAAACTGCAAATATGTATTTTAGACCTAAATAAGTTGAGAAAGCCCATAGAAATTGTTTTAGGAAATTACATGCGGGTTAAGTGTTGTTTGTGTGAAATACTTTACAAATAAGAAAACAAAAGTTGAAATCAAAGCCAGTCGTCACGTGATGACAACGACATTATGCCATTGTGTACTATACTCATTACATTAAAAATTTTGACTAAGCAAAAAATAGGTAAGGTGATTGATTGTGAATCGAAAAGCCAATATTCAATCCAAACTCCTTGGATAAGTCTTTTTAACAGTATGAGATTTGTGTATTATTTATATAGATTAACTTTGCACACATGTATGTTATTTCAGCACTTAGCCACTTATAGAAGTGTGTTTAGGTTCAACTTCAAAATCTAAGAAACTTCCAACATCAACAGCCTATCAAACGTTGTTGCCTAAACTGGTTACATTGGTCATAGTTTTACTGAACAAATTCTGTAAAGTCATAATTTTCAATCAATTGCCATGCACTGTGTGGTAATCACATTTTTTATTTGTATTTATTCCCATTGGGTAAGGATTTGTATCATGCATCAGTTAAACCCAAATGTAGTTTTATAACTCTGTAGACGTTATGCAATTGTTGGAATGGAGACTTAAATGATTACTTAAGTACAAACACCAAATACGAGTGACTGCTAACTAATTAATGAGAAGATATTCAGAGTTGAATTTACCTCTTGTGCTGATTAGTTGTAGCTGTACAAACAAGCTAGTGAAACTACAGAATTACACATAATTCGGATAATGATCCAAGTATATTAAATTTGAAGAAAATCAAATTTCCACAAAGACACTTCTTATTAAAATCTTCATAAACTGTATATACTGTTATAATTAAGGTCGGCCAAATATACACAAAATCGGTCCATTGGATAGACCCATTACCCCATTGGAGACGGGATGTTGACTGTAATTCCTAATTATAAAAGTGTGACAAATTTTTAATAATATATACAAGTCTGTTGTACACAAAAACTTGGGTATGTTACAAAAGTATTCATATTTAAGATGTGCCTATAAACTGAAAAAGTCAGTCTAGCTCAGACTCTGGTAAGTTGGAGTGCAAGGTGATATTCATGTAAAGAATAAGAATACTTTTGTCCATCATACGGTTTACATATCGAGCTTGGATAAACTCTATAACCTGTGTTGAGGAATGAGTTATGAATGAAAGTTGGGAACGACAGAGAAACATCTCTTGTTACATAGTTTCAATATGAAAAATGTCTCCACCTTTTGATCACTTTGACACTCCATTTATTAGCTGCCTTATGAAAGTATTGTTGCATAGGGTTAACTATATGCTTGCATCAAAGAAAACGAAGCAACTTTTAAAAGAAATCTCCTCAGTCAAGAAAGAAAATCATTTTCTAAAACTGGTAAGAATTACTTTTAACTCTTGAAAACACTCTACAATATCAGATGTCTAACTAAAAGGCTTGTAATATCCAGGATCTTCCATTGAGCTGTTTAAAGGCAAGAAAAAAAAAAGATGCTTATAATATTCTAATAACTGAGGATTTCTTTGGTGTTTAGAGAGTTTCTATCTTCAGAATTTTAGGATAAATCCTTTCTGATCCATTAGCTTCATATTGTTATGAATTTTCTCTTGAACAGTAGTATAATTTAAAGGTTTTTCCACTTAAAAACAAATTACATTTTTCATCTCCTACTTTATTAGTAAAAATATTAATAAACTTTATATTATGAATATTACAATTTCTTTTTATAATTTTTGTTAGTAATAAAAACTTTATTTCCAATTTATAATATCCTCTTAGCCTAAACAGTGGCTCCTCGTTAAAAATGGTGTAGTGCACGAGTATAATCTCATCTTATTATATCCTCTTAGCCTAAACAGTGGCTCCTCGTTAAAAATGGTGTAGTGCACGAGTATAATCTCATCTTATTATATCCTCTTAGCCTAAACAGTGGCTCCTCATTAAAAATGGTGTAGTGCACGAGTATAATCTCATCTTATTATATCCTCTTAGCCTAAAC